GCTGGATGCATCATCACGCGCTGTCCAGCTCCCCCCTAGTTTAGTGAAGGGGGAAAACTCCCGATATATCATGTGACAGCACTGTGATGACGTGAGTTTGACAGCCCTGGTTTAGAGTCATCAATCATTTGTAATCCTTGGATGATTTCAAGAAGCAAGTTTATTCATAAAACCACTCTTTTAATTATAGTACACATCACTTCTATCAATACATTCTTAGTTTTCTGCTCTGTTTCCTTCATTTCTTAGTTCTGGTCCTCTTACAATTAATACCCAGCTGCCAGCTATTGACTTCTTTCTGTTTATTTATTTATTTTAAAAGTTCTCAACCTGAATCTTCATTCCCATAGCAACTGTAACTAAGGCAGGTAGAACTACCAGGAAGAATTGGCTTTAGGTCCATTTGATTACATTTTACTTCCATACAGAAGAGCAGAAACACTATATAAATGCATCCCTCATTGTAAATATAAATAAAGGATTACAGAATTCACAGTCATCTTTCTGTGTTTTCTCCTTACTTCCTGCCAAATGTTTACAAGTAAATTAGTTTCAAACTTTTTTAAAAAATTGGGATGGAATGGATGGAGAAGCCATCACTATGAAAGGTTTTTTTCATACAAATATTTTTATTAGTCTCACTTTCTGAATTGCCCATACACATGTGCCGTGATAACATTCTTCAAATTCTAATGTTACCTGTTGATATTATAAATTGATACCATGGGACATGTCAAAGGTAAAGAGTGGCTCAATTCCAAAATTTGAATCCCTTTTTACCTTTTTGAAGTTTAGGGAAAATTAAGGAGCACAATTTAAGGTTTCACATTGTAGTCTATCCTTGCCCACTTTTGCCCCATAACATGCGGTACAAAACCTGATCCCCAAACTGACAAAAATTGTGCATCCCTTATCTACATGGCATTTGGACTTAAGTATTTGTTTAGACTGATAATCTTCCAGCATTCTTCAGACAATCGTAGTTAGAACCTTGTGGCAGATCAAGTCACAATCCCCTATCTCGAATGGTATGATTGTTGCGTTTTAAATTATGTATTGTTTGTGTTGTTGTTAAATTGTCTGTATCTCCCTTCCCTGGTTTGAGTTGTGAGCCACCCTGAGTCCCCCTTCAGGGGAAAAGGGCAGCATACAAATGAAATAAACATTCAAACATAAACATTCAAACATTCAAGTGATTAGGAGGGTAAAAACATGGTTTGCAAGAAGGTTGACAAATTTATAGAGTTGAATAATTGTATTTAAGGAGTGTTCTTTTACTAAATGTGTGAACTTTTTTCCTGGCTAAATGAATGTGTGTTTCCTGGCATGTTAATCACATTGCTGGAAAGTCAGGATCACAGTTGCAGCTATTTACAATTGATTTGCAGTATGTAGAATCATATTGTTCCAACTACCAGTTCGGTCCTAGCTAGAGGTCTTTGGGAAGGGTAGTGTTATCGGCATGACTGATGAGTTAGACTTTGGAAAAGCAGAGACTGACAAGCTCTGACTTCAAGTATCCATGGGCTTGATATCTACATCTTAGATATCTACAGTATAACTTAGCTTCATGTTGGTGAAACTATGGCACGTGTGCTGGAAGTGGCACGCAGAGCCATCTCTCCCGGCATGCCAGCTGTTGCCCGTTGCTATTCTGGCTTCCAGCTCACACTTGGCAGCTGGTCTTCATGTGCACGGGAGCGCCAAAAACAGTAAGAGCAATTACCTGGCACACTTGTAAGTGCAGGAACCTGAGCTTCCTGCTTCTGGCATGCACATGCACGCCACCCAGTTAGTCTTCACATGTGCACCAGAAACTGAAGACCAGATGACCAGAGCATATGCGCATGCTGGAAACTGGAAGCTCAGTTTTCTTGGGCGCACATGCGCACCTGGGAATTGCTTTTCTGGTTTCCGGTACTCCCCCCCCAAACGTGTGGACATGCTCCCGTTTCAGCACTCAGTGCTGAAAAGATTCACCAACACTGTCTTAGCTTTTAAGTCAGGAGCAGTCAGACAGCTGCCTATTGCAAAAGCATAGTAGCAGGCTGAGTTATCCAACTTAAAGTTTGAGGAAAAAATTCTTTGTTATTTAGAAAGTTCAAACAATTAGATACAGATATTCCAAGTACCATCTTCAATGAATCACTTTAAAAGAAAGTTGTGTTTCTCAGGGAAATAGAAACACGGAAAAGTCATTGCTATAAAAGCAATGGGTTTGGGAGTCAGACTTTTGTTGGCAAACAGCTTTCCGAAATTAGACATGATCTCCTGAATCTTGCTTCTTATTCCCCAACTGACCTTTGGATTGGTATAGGACTGCAATCCTCTTCTGATTCCTGGGTTTTGGATTTGTCAGCATAGAACCTTGGCTTCTGAACTTGTTTGTTTTTCATGGCCTGTCACATTCCTGCAGTCTGGTGATACTTTTGTGTGCCATAAATAACTCTGATCTGCGTCTGACCTTCTGCACTTGCAATTACTGACACAGAACGCAGAGGCATGACCAGAGTGAGAGAAAAGGTCGCAAACATGATCAAGGAGGAGAAAAGGGGAGGGCACATTGACCTTCTACCTCTAGAAATAAAGCAGTGACCATGAAAAAATCTAGTGACCTCTGCTTTGTCAAAGTATATTGCAAACACTGTTTTTCAGTTTGGACATTTTCTGAAGAACAAAACCTAGTTTTCAACAGCAATTCATATGAAGGTAGGGAAAAATCAGCAGGGATGATTTTCAGTTTATTCCATAGATTCAGGGCAATGGCATCCTCTATTCTTTGAAGCCAAAGACCCATCTGAACAGCAACAGACCGCCTGATTTTTAATGGCTTTGCCCCATTGCCAGTAATTTACACAAGTAAGTAAATTACACAAAACATAACCATTGGTTTCAGCTTTTCCCTCCCCTCCTCCCCCCAAAACCCCGTATCTCACAGTTGTGTAGGTATCAGATAACAGGATATCAGAGTTTGGTAGGCATGTAGCCCAAAATATCATGTTCCTTGGCTTCCAGTAGAGTCAAGGAAGCTGTAGCAAATGGGGCAGCAATAGGCATGGACTTGATTTTGAATTTTGGACTTGATTTGTGGCACTTTTAACAGACACTGGCATTCAGTAATACAGATTTTAAAATACAAAGTATGAATTCATATTCTGCTTTTTGACTTTTGGCTGTCACTCCCACTGGCTGTATACACATTGATTATCCTTTAATTCTCAAACAAATAGGATTTGAGTTGGCAGTGGATCAGGAAAGGGATAAGGAATAATGGAAGATAATGCTATAAAATATCAACCAAGCCAATATTAAAAAATCCTACATATTCTTGCTTGGAATAATTAGTAAATAGATTATAAATGTAATAATGCTGATATAAAAATCACCTTATATACTTTTTTGCTGTGGCTTGCTTTAAGTTCGTATACGTGGGCTGCAAAAATCTAGGACAACTACTACAGAGACAGAAAATGCACTAATGCTGCCTAATGAGTCTGGATGTTTGCAGTTCCTCCATTTTCTAATATCTTTAAGAAATAATATTAAAAAGCTAGAAAGGTCAAGTAAAATTAATAGGGGAGAAGAGCAGTTTTCTTATGAAGAACTATTTTAGCATTTCTTTCTTAGGAAAAAAATTGGGCAATGTCTAAACATTGTAAAGATATTTAAAATTATTTATGCCATGAAAAATCACCTCCCTCTATCACAGAATTAGAATTTGAGATCATCCCTTGAAGTTAAATGCATAGAGATTCAGAACCAACAAGAAGTAACGTTCTTTTTATTCAATACATGGTAAAACTGAAATTCACTGCATCAGATATGGTGTTAATTCTCCTGTGTTCAGCTGATTAGATAAATCCATAGAGAATGGACCTATTAATAGTTTCTAGTTTGTGATAGTGCCCATCCCTTAAATCAAAGGTAGCATTTCTAATACTCCTGGTGCTGCTCTTGTTAATAGTCCAAGAAAGCTACTGCCTTCTTATCTTGCTTATAATGTAGACACCTGGTTGTTGATTGCGAACTGGCTAACAAAGGCCTTTCACCTGATCAAATAGCCCTTCCAATATATTTCTATTCAGAGATGTAAATTAGACTGGAAAACATTCCTGTGCAGGTGAGAGTTTCAAATTAGTATATTCATTTCAATATCTACAGTATAGTTTGTAAATTGTCATTTTATATTTAATGTGAAAAAATTAAAACTAGTTTATTTAAGAAGCTTGAACAGTACATTTGTATAAAAAAAAACTTTGATGCATAAGAAAAACATTTTGTCAGAAAATTGAAAAGAATATTGAACAACAGTCAAAAAACCAATAACATCATATAAAGTTTTGAAAGTGCCAACTTAATCTGAATTTTTAATTTTTGATTCTTGAAAATTTTGTGTTGAAAATTTTCCAGCCCATTCTTCTGTTTCTAACAATAAATGTGTTATAAATAATATAATAATAAATAAATAGTAATAAATAATAAAAAGGAACTTGATGGAGACAGCAAATGCGAACATTCTTGCTTGTGCACATTAAAAGCTTGATAGGTGCTTTGAATTTACCATGATCTTCTCTCCTATTAAGCTACTTTGACTTCCTTACAGAGGACAAAAACCTATTATATTAAAAATGGTACCTTTCAAAAAATATTGTAAGCAATATTCATATTTCATAAAACAAAATCTGTGTAATTGGCAGGATATATTATATTACAGTATATAATATATTATTACAGCTCTTATAGTGGACAATTTTAACATTGTTTATATTTAATTATGAGAATCATCTATTGTGATATGATAGAATTATGACAAATCACACACACACACACACACACACACACACACACACACACACACAGAGAGAGAGAGAGAGAGAGAGAGAGAGAGAGAGAGAGAGAGAGAGAGTACATATACATATGCAACCAATGCTTTGATTACTTCAGCATTCCTGAAAATATAATGAGGATAATTTTATTTTGTTTTCTTTTGTTTCCAACAGGTACGATTGTACGCAAGACCTGATGCCATTAGAAGAGGATCCGGTGACTATGCTCTAAACATTACAAGGAGATTAATTGAGTTCTATGAAGATTACTTCAAAGTACCCTATTCCTTGCCAAAATTAGGTAAGTTTTTCCAGTTAAAACTGAGCTTTTCAAGAAGAATAAAATGGATTACTAGTGTTCTAGGTTGAAGGAAGCCAAAGTATAATATTTGGATCTTCACTTGTTTTTGAATGTATGGGGCCAAGATCTCAGAAACGTTTTAGCAGACCTACATGATCAGAAGTATATTCTAATGTTCAATCCTAGCAGATTTTAGTTCTGTAATTCAGAGCTTCTGTCTTGAAAGCACATATCTGCCAGATACTACCATTCTTGACTTATGAGTAATGGTGTGACAGGCATTACTCTGATTGGTAATATTGCAAATGGACAATTTAAACATTTTATAAGATGTGGCTTACTGCTTTGTCATATATATTATGCGTAATTTATAATAAAATTATGAGAAAAATCTAGCAATGTCAGAAAGTTAAAAAGGAAACACACTATGTTTGTAATTTGCAGAAAGAAACATATTTACAACTTTATATAACTGAAAATATTGGAAGACTAATAGAATAATTGCAACTGTTTAATTTTTTTATGATTCAATTAAATGTAATCTTTCAGTGTATTCTCTAGACAATCTTTCCCCAGGGTCTTCCAGCTGTTTTGGGACTGTAATTCTCAGGCATACTACCTACAAATTATAACTACTGCAATTGCATCACTTCAGCATCAAGTTATATTAATTATTTAATGGGTTTTTCAAGGCACTTTGCATTGTAGATTTTCTGCATAACAATTATACAAATACATTTTTATTTGGGGCATGGTTTGAAATTGGCTGTTAGGATTTCTGATTCTTGCTTTTAATACCAAACTATGGCAGAAATGTCTTCTGTTATACAGCATATATATATTTGGTGCAAATATTCTGCACTTAAATTATTGGCTAGTACTATCAGTCAAAACATATTTTACTAGTCCTAAAATGACTTCTTGAATTTCATTACAATTTACAGAGTTCAAGATGCTTGTCTTGTAATAAATATTCAAGTATGAATACAAAGTGTTATTTCAAACTTTTAAAGCATAAGCCTAAAAATGGGACTTTGAACAACTTCTTAAAGCAAATTCCTCCAATCTGGTATAGTCTAGATATTTGACATATAATTGTTATCTCAAACTAATCAAGGGCACCAGCTTGGGGAAAAAGTAAACTTTCTTAATGACTACATATGGCAAACAAGATTTAACAAATTATTTCTGGTTTGGAAATTACAGTAATGATACTTTTTGGATGTAGATTACATTATTACTTAATGTAAATGTTCTATATTTATATGTTGAAAATCAATAGATTATCATAAATTTTCATTATTTGAAGTACGCATATGGAACTTTTTGAAAATTGGCATGTGCAGTAGTGAAAGCTGGTAGGGCAGAATTTATTCTAAACAAATAAATGTGAAGTTGTGTAACAATATACTAGCTAGCATGTTTATATCAGTATTTGTTATAATACTTGTCATAAAGTGTTTATTTAAAATTTGACTAGTGCAAATACTGTACTTGTCAAATCATCTTTTATGGCTTCTTACTCTTTAGTAGTCCTGTGTATTACTGTCTATATATACAGTTACTTTGTGTGTATGAAACACAGCTAACCAAGTGTTTTCAATTTAACAAAGTGTGTGTGTGATTCGTTCACTACCCCATCATGAATGGTATACTCCCAAAATATGAAAGAATAAAACTGCATTTATTTTATTTAAGTATTTAAGTATAATTAGATAAAAAAGTATCTGTTCTGTAAATTCAGACCTGTGAACAAAGTGATGGTTGAAAGCTTAATCTGAAATCTGTGTAGCTTTGATGAATGAACAAAACCATATATTGCTTAGAGTGTCTATGGCTTCTTGAGAGTATTCTGGAAATGCTTTAGCTACTTCTAGTGGGTTAAGTGCTTAAAGTAAAAACTGACCAAATCTTTTGAAAGTATTTGAACCAAAGACAGTCTTCATTAGAGTTCTTTTATTCTTCAGTGTTTGAGCACTTACCCTTGATTTAGTAAAGTAACACTTTCATGTAAGGCTGCTAGTGATTGCCTTTTTGTTAACTTAATAACATTTTCTTCTTGAGCAGAAACTATTATGACTTCTGGATGTCAGATTCTGATGGGGAATAATGACTACAGCTCTAAAACCTGACATTTAAGGATTATTACTTTAGGTCAGGTAAAACTTTAAGAATTTTTGAGATAATTTTCTCTAAACTGTGGTTTGGATGAAGTGATGGGAGATTTTATGTGAGAGTTTTCAGGGAAAGGTGAAATGTATAGGTTGAGAAGGGCACATCCTTTCTGTATCCAGTTCAGTTGTGGACTCCATGCTTGTGGAGACCCAAAAGTAAAAAGAATCTCTAGGCTAATATGTCACTTGATGTTTGGTTTTTGTTTTAAGAGGAAATGTCACTGTGTGTCTATAGTTTATTATGCAAAACAATACCTGTGCATTGTCAACCAGGCTGATAAACTCTCCTGGTTTTGTACAGAATATTTTCATGCTGGCCTATAAGATGGGGAAAGATTGAGTCCTTCCTTCCACATCTGCAGTGGTTGCAAATAGTAAGAATGGCAGCTACTGCTACTTTATTTCATGCTGCAGTAGTCAGTTTGATAGCCCACCAGTGATATCATTATACTGCATTGAAGGGGATGCATTTTTCTAAGTTATTCTTGGCATGGTGAAGCTATCCATCCTTCAACAAGTACCATGGATCAAGGATGAAAATGAAATTCTATTTCATATATGTTTAGTGTTAACTGAAATGTCTATATTCTCTCTTCAGTTTCTATAACAAATTTTCCTTTCTAACCCATTAAAAAGTGGTATTAATTTTTGGTAATTTAACAGGCCACACGTGGGCCTGGTTTTTCTGATTATATACCTTTGCTGTAGAAAATAATAGCATAGTTGGTATGCTACACTATGCTCTGCCTGTAAGTATCTTCCATTCCTTTGTTTCCTGCACCAAGTAGGGTAACAATGAAATTTGTATGCCATAGTCAAGATTTAATGCCACCATAAATCCTTTTTTCAAATATTACCATCTGTGTTTTCAAGCAAACAATTTATGGGAACCAATCTTGTGTGCTGCCCTTAGCATCTCCCTAGCTTTTTGTTTTAACATTTTGGTTTACACCTTTAGCAGTCACAAATGCGTAGCCACCTAGCTTGTGCCCATGGGACCCAAGATGACTCATCTCCAGGCTCTAGTAATGACATATTTTCTTTGTGTAAGAACTTTCATCAGTAATATCTTTATTATATATTATTGCCCTATTCTCCATCATCCGTTGTGATTTATGAGATAGAGGAATACATAAAGGATGTTATTCAAATAGATAGTTCATTTGCTCACATGTCTGAATTACCTATGTACATTTTTGTAAAATTCAGAAATCACACAACAGAGAAGTGGCATTGGATAATACAAAGAAAACTTTCAAGTGAAATTCCATTGCAGACATAGTTATTTGGGAGTGCCAATTTGTACTAATCTTCAATTGTAGGTAAGATAGATAGAACAAATGGTGGCCACAAATCTGGCCACAAATCAAGAAAATCTATCGAGGTTTTGGACAGGTAGAAGAAGTGGCAGGTAAGCATCTCTTCCAGACTTGTTCTTTACAACGGAAAAGATCTAGGTCTTCTGAGATTCCTTGTAAAGAGAGCAATAAAGGAGCATCTGGCTTAGGGATCCCATATAGCCACCTCCACAGGGGAATAAATGCTGCTGAGGAAGGTTTTAAATTGTTCCCATAAGACTGCGGAGGGTGGTGCATTCACTCTGGCCAAGATGAAGACCTAATGAAATTTCAGAATTAGAATTGAGGAAAGATAAGTTGATGACAGAGGGCCATTTGAGAAAAGTCCACGAATGGTGGGTTTTACATTGTTTCAAAATCTAATATCCCAGATATGTTGCTTAAGGTCAGTTCTGCTCAGGGGTGGGTTTCACGTTTTTTTACTACCTATTCTGTGGGCATGGCTTGGCAGTCATGTGACCAGGTGGGCATGGTGGGCATGGTAGTGGATCTGACTATTTGAGAGACCGCCTTCTGCCAATTACCTCCCTTCATCCCATCAGATCGCATAGAGTAGGCCTCCTCCGAATTCCATCCGCCAGTCAGTGCCGACTGGCAACTACGCGGAGGAGAGCCTTCTCAGTTGCAGCTCCGACGCTTTGGAATGATTTCCCCGTGGAGATTCGCACCCTCACCA